TTTTTAAACAAACATGCCTCAAAACCTTTAATTTAGTAATAAAAACCCACAAAAGAACAACAGCACCCAGTCAGGATAGAGTTCATCCATTTAATAAACTTTAAAACACATCATTTAGATTTGGTTTTGCTCAAATGACATTGCAGTTTGGACAGAGCGCGACGGGACACCAAGACAGTCTTTTCACATAAACATTTCGCTCAGTCTAAATGCACATGTAGAATAAGGCAGAGATAAGCACTTTATCACTAACAGAACTGCTGCGAACGTCTTAATAATCACAAGCGTGAGCATTACAGGTTAGTTTTTCCCCCTCATTGACGTAAGAAACAAGATAAAATCGGATATAAAAGAAAATATAATTTATGTATATTTATATTTATTTATATATATGTATATTTGCGAGTAATAAGTAAGGACGTGAAGCGTGAGTATAATATAAAAAAACACAACCGGTCACACTTTTGTGCAGAAGCAGGATCCTGGAATCATGGGGAGTGTTTACAGACGCTTCACTACAAGATTCAATATGAATTCAGTAGCTTTCAACCCGCAAACCAAATAAAAACGCGACTCTAACTGCACTTTACAGGAGCGGTGCTATTATTAGTACAATATTAACAGACGGAATTATTACAAAGTGTAAATGACTCACATTTACACCACACTAAATACACCATATCAGTTGAGTAATTATAGAGGTTTACCAATCCAGCCAAGTTGATGTGCGAAGCCTTTTTTTCGTCATTCTGGCCGTCCAAACCATAATCATCTTCCTCAAATGAAACTGCAAAAAAGTTAACAACGTACAGAGACATACCTGAAAGTACACACACATAATACAGGCAGAATTTAGACAATAAATGTGCATTCAGTTCCAGCAAATACAGTAACCAGAAGTTTACATACACTGGATAAAAAGGCACATAACCATTTAAAAACAGTCAGATGTTAATGTGACTAAACTATTTCTCTTTTAGGCAAGTTAGGATTATCACATTTGTTTCTGTTATGCTTAACAGCAGAATATTGAGAGATATTTATTTGAGAATTTTTTTATAACTTTTCTTAAAAGTCAAGTTTGCATACAATAAGATTATTCTGCCTCTGAAAAAGCTCAGATGATGATGTCAAGATTGTGGAAGTTTCTGATTGGCTAATTGACAACATTTGAGTTAACTGGAGGCACAACTGTAGAATAGTATTTAAGGAAAACCTCAAACACACTGCTTCCTTGTGGGAGAACATGGGAAAACAACAAGCCAGAATCAACACAAAAGCCAGATTACAATAAGCTAAATTACACTGGGAAAAGACTAATTTGTGGAGACATGTCCTGTGGTCTGATGGAGCCAAGATTGAACCGTTTGGCCATAATGACCAGTGTTACATTTGGAGGACAAAGAGGAAGCTTACAAGCCTAGGAACACCATCCCAACTGTGAAGTATGGGGGCGGCAGCATCATGTTGTGGGGCTGTTTTGTTGCAGGAGAGACTGGTCCACTTCACAGCATTGATGGCATCATGATCAAGAACATTATGTTGAAATACTGAAGCAACATCTCAAGACATCAGCCCGGAAATTAAAACTTGCCACAAATGGGTCTTCCAAACAGACCATGACCCTAAGCATACTGCCAAATTAGTTAAAATGTGCTTTAAGGACAACAGAGGGAATGTTTTAGAGTGACCATCACAAAGCCCTGATCTGAACCCTATAGAAAATTTGCGGGCAGAGTTGAAAAAGCTTGTGTGAGCAAGACCCAGGCCCGGATTGGCTAATCGGGAGGACCGGGAGAATTCCCGGTGGGCCGGTGCGTTTTTTGGCCGCGAGGGCTGTTGTCCCTAGCTCCAGAATCTGTTGCTCTCAGCAGTCACACTTTTTACATTAATTTTTTTTTTACTTGACCACAGTCTTCCTATTAATTATTTTACCAAAGCTCTGCTCTTTTTATCTATTTTCTCGCAGCCTGGTTAATGATATAACCAAGACGAGCCACATTTAACGCACAATTGTAGTGGTCCAGGGATTAACGCGTTAGGCTATGACACTGCGGACCTGGGTTTGATCCTCGTCTGAGTAGGTTTTTTTTTTTTTCATTTTTATTGTTAAGACATATGATACTGTTAGGGTTGTTGAACATTTGAAGTTCTAAAGCAGCTGTTTTCTCAAAAAAATACGTGATAGTGTCATTAGAAACTGATTTGGAAATGACCTTATTTTAATATAGTCAGTCGTGAACTGAGGTGGGCCGGTCTGAGGCTTGAAACTCCAGGGTTGAAAAGGAGTCCCACTCCGGCCCTGGCAAGACCCCCTACAAATCTGACTCAGTTACACCAGTTCTGTCAAAATGAATGGGCCAAAATTCCTTGTGAGAAGCTTGTGGAAGGATACCCAAAACATTTGACCAAAGTTATACAGTTTAAAAGCAAAGCAAAAAAATACCAAGGAAATGTGTGTAAACTTTTGACTTGAGAAGTTAATAAAAAAAATTCTCTAAAAAATAAATCTCTCATTATTTTGCCATTTAGCAAATGTCAATAATTTAGGTAAACCTAACAAACCTAAAATAGTAAACGTTTAGTACGATTTACCATCAGACATTTTAAATGTTCCTTTTTTTAGAGTGTATGTAAACTTCTGGATTCAACTGTATATAATATCCTCTAGTGTGCAATGACTGTGCCCACATGGGTTGAATAGGAGTGTAAATCTCAAATGTTTGAGCTAAACGGGAGTATGTGAGGAAAGAAATATAGAGTTTTTGGGTGAATAGTATTATAGGTCTGAAAATGAATTGATTCGAATGTTATTCACGTCTGTTTCACACCGCAAGCGCAAGCAGTGCGTGAGCAGCTCGTATGGAGAGCAGAAGCTCATCGGCAGCTGCTGCACGTTCACTCTACCTCTGTATATTCTATCTAGTTACCTATTGATCTATAAAAACACTTTTTTTTGCTTTTCATCTGCACCAAGGCCCGCGGCAACTTCCTCCTATGCTGTTTCCTTAACCTGCAAGTCTTTATTTTACAAGGTATATAGATCCTACAAGACTGCATGCTTCTCAAGCTTTCATTCATGTCTGGTGCACTCAGCACACCATCGCCTGTGGTATCATGTCATTTTGTTTTTTAATTATCAGGATGATGTGGGCCTATAGTTATAATATTTCTACAATATGGTTATGATATTTATACATGGTCAAACTAGTGTGCTACTTACTAAGCAAAACTAATACTAAAAGTGTTTAAAATTTGGTTTTGTAGTTCGGGCTCAAATAATTATTTGTTGCTGTTTTAATCGTTTAAGTTAATTTGATTGATATAAAAATCTGTGGATATTATCAATGTATTTATTGGGTAAATACTTCTACTTTTTACTGTCATTCAATGTGTATTTGGTCATTATCAATGCACGGTCACTTTAATTGAGCGTGAGCAGTGCTGGAAAAATAGTCCCAGCGGCACTGCTGCTTCAGCAATGCTCACGCCTCATGCTAACGTTATGAAAGCTCTAATCTGTTAACATGGACGCCGAAAAAAACACGTGCTGCTCCTGTTCTGCTCACGCTTGCGGTGTGAAACAGGCTTTAGTCACCGTCATGTCATTTCAAAGCTGACTATTCAGAATTTTGTTCATTATTTAGATTTATATCTCATAGTTTTAAAATTGTTTTGCGAAATTGGAGGCATTTTCAACTATTTTCTCCAGTATTTTGAGGTAAATCTTTCATTTCTGACACTAACTTCTGAGTTCAAGTCAGAATTGTGGTTTTCCAACTAATCTGACGCTGAATTGTAAGAAAAAAAAAACTGTGAAGAAGTCAGGACTGTGTTTTAATAGTAAAATTAAAAGGAAAATATTAAGTTTACACACTTTCACAATTGTAACTTCATTAATTAATTAATTAATTCATTCATTTTCCTTCGGCTTAGACTCAATTTTGATTTATTTCTTATGCACTACCTGACAAAAGTCTTGTCGCCTATCCAAGTTTTAGGAACAACAAATAATAACTTGACTTCTAGTTGATCATTTGGTATCTGAAGTGGCTCATATGAAATGCAAAGGCCTCTAGGTTACGCTCATTAGGACAGGATGGTCTGACTTTACTTAAACAAAAGTCTTGTCATTTAACAGAAATAATGTCCAGCATAGAATATAAAGTCATGCTGCAGTGGAGAAAGAATGAATATCGTGTATAACTCCTATGAGCTTTGAGGACTGCATCCATACATCTCTGAATTTACTCAAATCACCTAATAAAGTCATCTGGAATATCAAATAAAGTGTCTTGCAGGACTCAAAATTCTTTGGATTCATCTTCAATGCCTCCTCCATCTTATCCCAGACATGCTCAATAATGTTCATGTCTGGTGACTGGGCTGGCCAATCCTGGAGCACCTTGATTTTCTTTGCTTTCTTGAACTTTGATGTGGAGGCTGAAGTAAGAGAAGGAGCGCTATCCTGTGGTTGGTAATGTAATGGGCAGCACAAATGTCTTGATACCTCAGGATGTTGATGTTGCCATCCACTCTGCAGATCTCTCACTGAATGTAAACCCCAAACCATGATTTTTCCTTCAGCAAACTTGACTGATTTCTCTGAGAATCTTGGCTCCATGCAGGTTCCAGTAGGTCTTCTTCTATTTGTGATGATTGGGATGCAGATCAACAGATGATTCATCAGGAAAATTGACCTTCTCCCGCTTCTCCAACTAGAAGTCAAGTTATTTTTTGTTGTTCTTAAAACTAGGAGACAACAAGACTTTTGTCAGGTAGTGTATGTGTTTATAATTCGCAACGGTGAGGTAAAAAGTAAAATAAAACTACTACATAACACAGATACTGTCAAGCTCCAAACAAGGCAATGAAAAGGCAAAATAATTTCAGCTGTTTCTTTTCTTTTGTACTTCTTGGAGCTTGACAACCACCATTTACTTCTATGTAAGAGCACTTACGATTGTGTCACAAAACATAATGGATTCGAAACAGCATAAGGGTGACTAAATAGACGTAATATGTATTTTAGGACAAATTTTAAACTTGAGTATGGAGATGTCGTGAAATTAAAACCCTTACAGTATTACAAAATAACCTCAGAAATGTCCAATTTTGTTTTGCGAATGCGAAGCATCACATGAATTTCTGGACAAAATTCACAGAATAAACTGCAGGAAATGCGGCACAACATTGCATACAGTACGCTACAATTGGATCATTAAACATTTAGACACCCCCATTTTCATTTACGGTAACAATTTCTGCTTCCATTCTATTATTAGTGGAGTTTTAATCAAAAACCCAGCAATTTCGATCCAGTCTAAGAGTCGTGATCGAGCCCTGTCTTATGATTGGACGACAGCAGGCCTTGCTTCTTACTGATTGGTCGTAATCAGTCCTGTGCGGTCTCTGATTGGCTACGAGTGGGCCCTGCTGCTCACTGATTGGCTGAGAGCAGGCCCTGTCTCTGAGCGTGCTCGAGGATGGCGGCGTGGCAGAAGTAGTACTGCTCGGGTGTTTGTATGCTGAAGGCACGCTGTGATCTCATTCGCCGGACCGTCTGGCAAATGTTAAGCGTCCCGACGTCCTGCAGCTGCGACAGGCAGATGTCCAGCGCACAGAATGTACCTGAAAATACGGACAGATATTGAAATTGCGTTACTGTTTACTTCAGTTGGAACATTAGATATTTTGAAGAAATGGTTCACATTGACCTCCATTATATATTGTTATTTTTCAATACAATAGAAGGGAATGTTATCAGCAATATTCACATTTCATTTTATGTCTCAAATGAACTAAGAATTTACTGTATTTCTAAAATGATTGCATATAGATATTCTGGTAAATGTTGGTAACATTTTGGTTCCAGTTGACATGTTTTTTATTTTAAAATATTTTATGTAAAAAGAGATACTTTGAAGAATGTTAAATTCAAACAGTTTTGGTTTTATCTATTTTTTTCAATGATATTTTTTATTTATATAGTGCAATTCAATGGGAACCAAAACAAATATTTTGAAGAATGCTGATTACCAGAGTTTTAGTTCTCATTGAAAGAAAAAGATGTAATATTTCTTTTGATATAAAAAGGTTTTAGTTCCTATTGAGCTCCATTTTATTGCAAAATATCTTGATGCAAATATTTCGAAGAATATCAATAACAAAGCAGTTCTGGTTCACAACAAATTTCAAAAGATCTTAATATAAATAATAAAAAATGTTGGTAATCAAACAATTTTAGTTCCTACTAAATTTTAAATTATTACGTATTTTCAGTTATTATTATGTGTGTTTTCATACACGCATTGCAATTTATTGGGAACTAAACATTTTGGTCCTTATTTTTCTAGAAATTATTTTAAAGAGTTCTAAACAATGTAACCAAACAATTTTAGTTTCTACTGAATTTAAAATTTTTAATGTATAAATATATATATTTTTAATTTTTTATGGGTTTTCACCTTCATTGTGATAGGACAGTGGAGATTTACAGACAGGAAAGTGAGGGGAGCAGAGATAGGGGAAGGATTGGCAAAAGACGTCAAACCCTGAATCCAACTTGGGTCGCCGTGATCACCTCCGTGCTGTGTCGATGCACTAACCACTTGGCTTTTGGCGCCAAAAAGTTGAAATATTTTTGAGAATGTTGGTAATCAAATGTTTTGGTTTCAATTGACTTTTTTTGTAAAAAAAAAAAAAAATTTAATTAAATTAAAAATCAAAACGGAAATATTTTATTTAAAAAAAATGTGTTGTATTTTTATATCCAAAAATTGACATTTATTGGGAAACCAACAGTTTTGTTCTCATTTTTCTTGTAAATATTTTAAAGAATGCTCATTACCATTGTTTTGGTTCTAAACAAAGTAAACCAAACAATTTTAAATTACGTATATATTTTTGGAATATATTATATTTTTTTAGTTCCCATTGAGTTCCACTTTATTGCAAAATATTTTAATGCAAATATTTAAAATAATATCAATAACAAAGTAGATCTGGTTTACAACAAATTTCAAACAATCCTATTTAATAGAATTTATCATTTAAAAATGTCGGCAATCAAACAATTTTAGTTCCTACTGAGTTTTAAATGATTTTTTATAAATATTTTTAAATATGTTTGTAATTCAAACATTTTGGTTCCAATTGACTTTTTGTATTTCAAAATAATTTATTGTTACAAAAATTATTTTTCCATCCACACATTTCAAGTCTGGGAATTAAACTGTTTGGTTCTTATTTTTCTTGTAAATATTTCGAAAAATGCTAATGCTAACCAGAGTTTTGGTTCTCATTCAAAGAATGTTGGTAACCAAACTATTTTAGTTCCTACTGAGTAAATTTTTATTAACAAATATTTTGATAATCATGGTTAATCAAACATTTTGGTTTCATGTGACTTGCATTTAAAAAATAATTTGTTTAAAAAAAGTTTCATAGTATTTTTTATTTACACATTGCAATTAATAGGGAACAGTTAGTTTAAACAGTTTAGTTCTTAATTTTCTTGTAAATGTTTTGAAGAATGCGCATTACCAGAGTTTTACTTCCAATGTGTTGCCAAATATCTTAATGCAAATATTTAGAAGAATATCTATAACAAAGCATTTCTGATTCACAACAAAAATTTGAAAAAGATCTTATTTAATATAGACAATTTTAAACTGTTGGTAACCAAACAATTTTTTGCACCTGCTAAATTTCAAATCATGTATACATATTTGGGAAAATGTTGGTATTGAAACATGTTGGTTCCATTTGACTTTGTTTTGTATTTCACAATAATTAATGTATCTTCCCTATTCGCACATTGCAATTTATTGAGAACCAAACTGTTTGGCTCTGATTTTTCTTGTAAATAATGCTGATTAGCAGAGTTTAAACAAGGTAAACTAAAAATTTTAGTTCCTACTGAATTTCAAGTTTTGTAGAAATATTTGGAAGAATGTTGGAATCCAACGGTTTTAGTTTATACTGAGTTTCACTGTATTGAAAAATACGTTACTGCAGTGTTTTGTAAAAATATCAGTAACAAGACAGTTCTGGTTTACAACAAATTTCTAAATATCCGATTTAATATAAATAATTGAACGTTTATAACCTCAAACTAATTTAATTCTTAAGACTTTTTCATACATACAATGGAAATCAATGGCAGTGAAAACTGTTTGGTTACCAAAAGCCTTAAAAATGCCTTATTTAATATAAATCAAACAAGACATTTTGCTGAATTTAAAAAGCAAACAGTTTTGATTTACAACATTCTTTGAAACATCACCAGTCATACAGCTTAAGTAAATGATGGCAGCTTTCATGTCCAGCGAGACTGTTCTTTTAAAATGCCTCTTTAATATGGAGTTTTACTACTGACCGGTCCTGCCGATGCCAGCGCTGCAGTGGACCACCATTGGTGGGCCGAGTGGATGCCCTCTCCACTGTGTGCCAAATGCCTGGACGGCCCACTGCTGCTGGTGCTTCACGGCCCCCAGGAAGTCGATCAGAGACACTGCGGAGGACGGGACCCCATAATCAGGCCAGCTGAGGAACTGGAAATGAGTCACCTGTCTCTGCTCAAACGTCTGAGAGATAAAAAACAACAAGAGAATCAGCTCTATATGTATGAACACTATAATCAGTTTAATGTTTTCAATGTTTGAAGCGTGCCCGCCATTATTTTATAAGTAATTATGGGCCACATAAAAAATAACCTGGTTCATATTAAATGATAATTTCTGACTGGCTGTTCAATAAACAGCTACATGCATAGAAATAATAATAAACGTGGTCCAAAACGATACTGAAATTAGAAATGTACCTCAGTGTTGTGCAGCTCCAGTGTGGTCTGGTTGTAATGTGCGTGGTTGTCCACTCTGTGATTGACCACAGCGATGTATCCGTACACCTCCTGACCGCCCTCCTCTTGAGGCCAGTACTGTCCACACTTCCTGCGGCCCCCTTCATCCGTCCTGCACACACACACAAACACTTCGATATTAAGACCCATTAATCTTCATCATGCATCACCATTTACATCCCTGTGGAGTTTGCATGTTCTCCCTGTGTTGGTGTGGGTTTCCTCCGGGTGGTCCGGTTTCCCCCACAGTCCAAAGACATGCGCTATAAATGAATTAGATGATGTGTCTGAATGCGGCTGGAAGGGCCTCCGCTGCGTACAACATATGCTGGAATAGTTGGCGGTTCATTCTGCGGTGGCGACCCCTGATAAAAAAGGGACCCTCCAAACTTGGTCCTGGAGGGCCGGTGTCCTGCATATTTTAGTTCCAATCCAATTAAAGGTTCAGGACACCCTGGAGAACTTTTTTTTTAATATATTAACAGATTTGTGTGTGTTGAGCATCAGTTAAGACAATGTTAGCACCTGTCAGCTTTAATTGTGGGGAAAACTGGATAATTTTGAGCTTTTGTCAGCTCATTTCAGCTTCCGGGTTTAAAATGATTTTTGGGGCGGATCAAAATCGGCGACGTAGCGAAGTACCGCAAGTGCAATGATGACGCGTCGATTTCTCAAATTATTCAAAGCGGAGTTTCCTTATCCTATGAGAAGAGCCGGCTGCTTAATTATTCATAAGAGCATGACAGCACACGCTTTCCGAAGGCTAGGCAGACGCTGACCTGCCAGACCAGTGCCAAACTCAAGCTGTGAGACACGGACCCACGGCACGCAGTAGCCGTTTATGAAGGCTCGTATGTGTTTGTTTCCATGATCCACGGGGTTTGTTGCATTTTTTCCCCCGTGATCCTGTCAGGGCCCATCGTACAGCAAAGCTGTGTGTGATGCAATTATTTTTGTCGGGAGAGCAGCACGAGAATTGGAAAATGGCGGATGTAGTCTTGTATCAGGAGTTCATTCACATTCAGACACATCGCCGTGCTGCTGTGTTTGCCGAAATCCTCCAGATTACCAGCAGGACTAATGGTTAAAATAGACAGGTCAGGAGACCTGCTGCACTGAGTCTGCATTTAGATCTATGATTCAGACCCGGGAATTGAGGGAGAAGTCCTCATTTATAGTGTTTATATGAACACGATTATCTTTATAATGATATAAATTGTGGTTGTCTGTATATGAAATTACGAATAACAAATGTAGCAGGTCATTAAATCACTGCTCATTTCTTTGCATTTTAACTTTGTAAACTATAAACTCATGCGTCTCCTCACGGTTTGTCTCAGTTTGTGAGCTAACTGACATCAACAGTTGTTCGCTCCCCTTCTCCCCTGCTGGCCACGCCCACTCCTGCCCTATGCTCGCGGAGCTCCACGCCCATTAATCATGCATCTTTTGAAAAAATTCTGAAGTACACTTTAACCGAAAGTGGGGGGTGCCATGGCCCTTTTAACACACCTGAACCAGCTAATTAAGCTCTTTCTAGGTATACAAAAACTTCCAGGCAGGTGTGCTGAAGGAAGTTAGAGCTAAACTATGCAGGACAACGGCCCTCCAGGACAGACTTTGGGCACCCCTTGACTAAGCTGAAGGCAAATGAATGAATGAATGAATAAAGGATCACAAGTGGACTACATTAATACAGGGGTAAATTGGGTTCAATATGTTTTGAGGTGGTCCACATTAACCTTTATTTATAAAAAATTGTAAAAAGTAAGGACAAAAGAAGCGGCGGCACGGTGGCGCAGTGGGTAGCACAATCGTCTCACAGCAAGAAGGTCGCTGGTTTAAGCTGGGTCAGTCGGCGTTTCTGTGTGAAGTTTGCATGTTCTCCCCATGTCCGTGCGGGTTTCCTCCGGGTGCTCCGGTTCCCCCCACAATCCAAACACATGTGCTATAGGTGAATTGAATAAGCTAAATTGGCAGTAGTGTATGTGTGTGAATGAGTGTGTATGGATGTTTCCCAGTGATGGGTTGCAGCTGGAAGGGCATCCACTGCAAAAAACATGTGCTGGATAAGCTGGCGGTTCATTCGGTTCTGTGGCGACCCCTGATTAATAAAGGGACTAAGCTGAAAAGAAAATGAACGAATGACAAAAGAAGCTTCTCAAATCGTCAGAGAGCAAACAAACAGCCACAAAAAAACAGCTGCTCTCCTCCTCCTGACCCAACAAGTGCTCATTATGGGATGTGTTGTGAGCAAGCGGAAGAGGTCAAACATGGATTCGCTCAAAATATTTTAGACAAAGTGTATTTTTCATAGTAAAAAACTCATTTTAATGACATTTTTGAACAGGATCCAGAAAAAAAAAACTCCCCACAAGGATACAAAGTTGCATTAAATGTTCCCAAAATGCTACAATGAGAACTTCTGATGAAGAATTTCTTGAGTCTGTGGCACTGAAACGTTTAGTATAAAGCAGATGTGTATTCGGGATTATAGTTGTGTGTTATATTTTGCATTCTGGCTGCATGGGATTCATGGGAACCATTGCATTAGACTACTGAATAGCGGTTGGCCAGTAAACCTCGTTCTGTATAAGTGGGCATTTTTTGGCCAGAATAAGTGGCAATTTGGACTAAACTTAGACGCGGTAATAAAAAGTCATGCAGGCTACAAATCATTTCCTCTATGATGTCGTACCTTGTTGTCATGACAATGACGAGCACATTTTGTTCCCAAACCATTCTCCAGAAATCTCCATAGGTTTTCTCCAAAGGACCTGTTGAGAAACGACATTAGCCTGTTAGTTTTTAGTGCAAGTAAACAATTTAAACTGTAAAACTGTGGATTATTTTTTACCCTGAGTCCCAATATATGCGTTTTTCTGCTTGTATCCATCCATGAAGCTGGCGTTTATGTAGTCTGATCTCTACAGGACAAAAAAAACATCAGTGTTCAATTGGGTTATGCATTACCACTGATAAGTCTGAGGACAGTGAGGGGTTTTATTTAAAAGAAATTAATATTTGCATTTAGTATGGATGCATTTATTTACTAATACTGTCAGTAAATCTACTTAATCTAAATCATTAAAACAAAACGTTTTTCACTACCGTTTTGAACACCAATAATGATAGGAAATCTTAATTGATTTCTAAAGGATCGCATGACACTGATATCAGGAGTAATGATGTTGACGGGAATAAATGACATTTCATAATTGAATATTGTTAATTTAATTGAAATATTGTTGTCCACAAAGTTTTCGTTTTTGCTGGATTCATTGATAAATACCTCTAAAAAAAACCTTACTGACCCAAACATTTGCACAGCAGTGTGAATGACAAGCACTAACCTCATTTCTCCTGGCTTTAAGTCGCACCCGAGTCTGATCCAGACACAGAACGTCACCATAGCGATTGCGCTCCTGGTTGTGAGCAGCCCTGTAAAATGTCAACAACAGCGTGAAATCAAAATCGACCATCTAGTGATAATAAAAAAGCGACATGGCTAAATAGATGAAGGTAGGGCTGGGGTAGATGATTACTACTAATTAATAAAGTTATAGCAAATAATAACCTTAATTATACCTATTTATGGCCTTTTGTAAAGCTGCTTTGAAACAATAATAATTGTGAAAAGCGCTATACAAATAAACTTGAAGTGAATACTTACAGTGCGCAGGTGAACGTTCCCGGCGGCTGCTCTCGCCGGAGCTCCTCGTACTCCAGGTAGATCCCGCTGCGCTGAGCCCGGTTCAGGTGTGCCATGAGTTCAGCCAGACTCATGGCTTCAGCTCCTGGAGTGTGTATGGACGTGTTCTCCAGCGGGATCCCAACAAGCTCATCCACAGGATCCACACGTCCGTTCTGCTCTGACAGCAGCTGCAGGTTCCAGTTGTGGACGTCAAGAGGCAAACAGCCGCCAAGGTGTTCGGGTAAACAATCTCTGGGCAGATGCTGTCGCAGATCGGCCATCTTCACCATTTGAACCTGAAAAGAAGATCATGAAGTAAAACTCACACAAATTGACACTAGAGTCAGAAAAGTGGGGCGAACAGGTGTAAAAGTAGGTCGTACCAGTCATCAATCCCCACCAGCTTAACAAGAGTGGTCTACCAGGCTAACCAAGATATAACAGGCAAACACCAGCTGGTTAAAGGGTTGTTACTATATTGTTTTTGCCTGATTTTGTTTTGGATGACACCTATTGACGTTAAGTAAGCTGCTTTTGGCGATTAGAACTACTGTTGAATATGGGGAAATGACTAGGAATAACAAACAGTAGTGAACGATCAAACTATGAGCTGTGATGATAATAGATATACAGTTGAAGACAAAACGATTAGCCCTCTAGTGATTTTTTCCCACAAATGATGTTTAACAGAGCAAGGAATGTTTCACAGTATTTCGTATAATATTTTTTCTTCTGGAGAAAGTCTCATTTGTTTTATTTCAGCTAAAATAAAAGCAGTTTCTAATTTTTAAAAATCATTTTAAGGTCAAGATTATTAGCATGTCATCATGGCAAAGATAAAATAAATTATGAGTTATTAAAACTATTATGTTTAATATGTGTTAAAAAAATCTTCTCTCTGTTGAGCAGAAATTGGGGAAAAAAATAATAAGGAGGGCTAATAATTCTGACTTCAACTTTATATGCAAATAATATAATAAGACAATACCATTTTGCAACATTTTCAAGCATAACAAGCAGTTTTTACAGCTAAAAATCAAACGAAAGGTAAACTGAATGGAAATATTGAGCCAATAATTTTCCAATGGTTGCACCCGCTCCTACAATAAAGAATAAGGTCAAAACACACTGCAAAACAATCCAATGAATCTAAACTTAAACCCTACAACTTGTTACATCTAAACACATAGGCTGTTTCTCAATATGCGATCTTCAGCTATCTTACATCCTTGTGTTCACGTGTGACGTCATCATCAGCTGCCAAAGTTCAGTTCCAATACTCAAGACCACATGAACAGAGGACGCGTGAAGGTTCCGGATGTGTTCTTGATGTAGAAGACGCACTGATGCAGACTTGAGCACCGAACTCGCTCTAGAAGCCCCAAAAGTCATTGCGACTGAAGGTGGGAAGCGCTGCGTTTTATGTAGGTTTATTATTAAAGTTCAGAGATATCACTTATTTATCTCAGGAGTTTCCCTAAATGAAACGGTGAAAGTAAACATTACCATGTACATCTTAATAAAGGTATATACACATTAAGTGTGTTTATTTTATTTGTATTGTGCAACGTATATTTATAAAGACTTTATGTATAGTATATATCGTGAAAAGGGGGAAAACAATAACTCATTGAATGAATGCTGTAATGTTTAAATCCTTTTCTATAAAAAAGCGTGTGAAGCCATCAGGAAGAACCAGGGAAGAATGCAGCATCTCATTTCTCACAGGATGCGTTCTCTGTCCTCGCAATCTCCCAAGTTCGTTCTTCTGAGGTCAGTCACGCAAGTCCATTCCGTTCTTGGAATTGAGAAACAGCCATAGTTTTTTTTATTTTTTTAACTTTATTTTTTTTTTGTTTATTACTGAAAATCTTTAAAAAATAATAAACAAATCGTTTGTGTAACAAATTCTCAATATTTTATAGTCGACATCTATCCAAGATCAAAAAAACTTAATTTTGTAAACACTTCAGAATCAGCCTTTTCTCCTCAGTGTTTGAATCAGTCGGTATAAAGATTCAGCCTTTCTTAACACCTGCTTTTCTGAAATCCTGCTCTGCTCTGATTGAGAAGATGTTCTTATTCTGCTCTGACTGGTCAGACGGTCCTACTTGGCTCTGATACTGTAGGTCAGATCATGCCTTGTAATTAACTGGTCAGCCACTTACAGTGCATTTCAGAATTTAAACAACCGTTACCATATCTAAATTAGTGATGAGAAGTTCGGATCATTTTACTGACCTTTGATTCTCGTTCAGTGAAATTAAGAAATCTCCCAAATTAACCATATTTTGGTAATACTAAGATGCATGTAGATTCTTCCATTTTAATCAATCTTCAATTTAATAAGTATAAACATGACCTGACACAATTCTTGTCGCCTATCTAAGTTTAGGAACAACAATGAAAAGAAAGGCCTCTAGATTGATTATGCCTATTTTACCAAAATAAAATATGATCATGCCTTGATTTTTAATGATTTAATTAGGACAGTAAGGTCTGACTTTGCTTAGACAAAAGTCACTTAACAGTAATAATGTCCAGTATAGAATATAAAGTCAAGAATAAATATTGTGTATGACTCCTTTGAGCTTAAAGGACTGCATCCATACAGCTCTGCAATGACTCAAATCACTGATTAATAAAGTCATCTGGAATGGCAAAGAAAGCGTTCTTGCAGGACTCCCAGAGTTCATCAAGATTCTTTGAATTCATCTTCAATGCCTCCTTTCTTCATCTTTCCCCAGACATGCTCAATAATGTTTATATCAGGTGACTGGGCTGGCCAATCATTGACCTTCTTTGCTTTCAGGAACTTTGATGTGGAGGCTGAAATATGATAAGGAACAATATCCTGCTGAAGAATTTGCCCTCTCCTGTGATTTGTAATTTAATGGGCAGCACAAATGTCTTGATACCTCAAGCTGTTGATGCTGCTGTCCACTCTCCAGATCTCTCACACAGCCCCATACTGAATGTAGCCCCATGATTTTTCCTTCACCAAACTTGACTGATTTCTGTGAGAATCTTGGGTCCATAGAGTTTACAATAGGTCTTCTGCAGTATTTGTGATGATCAGGATGCAGTTCAACAAATAATTCATCAGAAAAATCTACCCTTTGCCGCTTTTCCAAATGATCAACTAGAAGTCAAGTTATTATTTGTTGCTCTTACAATTGTGATAGACGATAAGGCTGAATTGGGAAATCCTTTAATCCATGATTAAAATCAGAGGACATGAATATTATCTATACCTTGGCACAGTAAATTATAAGTACAGATGTGTGTTTGTACAAACCCGTTCTCTGAGTTTCTCCTTCAGTAACAGACTCAGTAAGTTATACGGGACCCTGAACCACACAGGAGCTCCGACGATGAGCACTTTCTTCAGCCGCGCAGGAAACGCACCCTGAAACAAAAGCAGAAACTCCTCTGATTTATTCTGAAACACAACAAGATCACTGGAGCATCTTCAAGACACTTCGTAATAGGAGTGTGCAATACTTATCGTTTTGGAGTGCGTCACTCACTTAGCAAAAGCAAACAAACAAACAAAAACATGTCTTTAGAGCAATGACTGTACGATGAAGCCTATTAGCCTTTTAGACTATAATTCAAGAAAGCAAGAAAAAAAAAGCTTATATATTCACTAAATATGACAAGATGAGTGATATCACACTAACAAGAGTGTCGTTTTCCTGAATATTAGCATGCGATAATTTCAAGAAACAAGGCATTAGCCGGTTTTAAAATTAATCTTTAAAATAAAAAACGAATCTAAAATGCGAATTAAGAGGATATATATCTGGTTTTAGAGTGGCTGACTGTAGTATTGGTAACCTAGCAACCAGCAGTAAACAAGGCAAGCATAATGGATTCACATGGGTGTAAAGTTTAAAACATCAGTTTTTTCGTCAAATGTGTTTACATATCACATTAAACTCTCTGTTGCACAAGTCCAAGACCACCTCAAGCGGAGTCGTTGTTTGGTTGTTGTAAATTAAGGATTTTGTTTTTGAAACTTGCCGTTTCAATCACTCGTTTCTAATCCGTAGGTCCACACAGAATCTACGTGCATAAAAATATGCATATTTCCGCAGATTTTTCAGCCCATCGTTTAGCCTTGTTTATTTATTTAATGGGACTAAAGTTGTTCATTCAGTTTGTCTATGAATTTTAGTAATATTGACAAACATGCAAATGTTTATATTCTTTATTTTCACTACAGTTTGTAAAGTACTATTTTCTGTGTTTTAGTAAACATATTATGAGAATATTATATGTATCAGGGGTTCTCAACTGGCTTGGCCATGGGACCCACATTTTTACATGGTCATCAAGCCGTGACCCAAATTTTTAGGAACTATAATATAAATTTAGGATTTATAATTAATTTGCATTTATTTGTTGACATACACAAGTAGTGACAGATAAATCATAAGAAAATTACCAATACTTACAAATAAACAGTATTTTATTGCTGTCATAACAAAATGTATCAAATTATAGAAATGTTACAGAGTAAAAACGACAAATATTGTAAACAGTGGTTAGGGTAAGGAAAGGTTCAGTTACCATGAACTAAACTGAACTGTTAATTAAACATATTGTTGTCTGGTTTCTAAATGTCGTTTTAGTTTAGAAGGTTTCATGCTCTCTTGTGGGAGCACCTCACTACATATGGCACACTAAGGCTTAAAGTCTTTTTTTGTCAATATATGTAAATCCATACTTTACATTGTGCATATTTATTGCTATAATTAAATGAAATTTCACATGTCAAACGGTAGGGTTGTCGCGCTCGCATTTCAAAATAAAAGTCCGGTATAAGCAAAATAAATTAAAAATTAAACTTTTTTTTTTTTTTTGACCACACACAGTGGGTCGCGACCCACCAGTTGAGAAACACCGATATATATTATATGACAAACTTGCTTCGTTTGCCAAGTGGATCTAATTGGATTTGAATTATAAACCTTAAATAATAAATTTCTGTCTGACCCTGCTCATGCAATGGAAACCAGCTGTTTAGAAAGCATTTTAGACTAAATAAATGTAATAAATTCTAAAAACAGGACATTTGTGCAGTGTTTCGTTCCATATATAAATCTGTTATTATTAAAATCAAGAGAACTGATGATTCAATTATCTGTTCATAAGCCACTTGTTTTGTTTCAAAATGAATCAACCATTTAAAACAATTCTTTTGAATGAACGAGTCAACAAATCAATCCCTCAGACAAGACACGGTCGCCACCTACTGGTGGTTTCAGTGTTTGTTTTTGACCAACGACAGGCCTAAACCAGCACAAAAAAACACACCCAGTAAAATCTCCATTAATCAAATAATGCCCCAGAATTCTTCACATAGAAACTCACCTTGAGCAAATTAAGGATCTTTTTGCTGAGGTCCAGCTCAAAGTTAGTGTAGTTGGATCCAGCCATGTCATAGATGAAGACCAGTCCATTTCTCTGAGTCTCAAAGCTAAAGAAACAACATTTATTTTGACCAGAAATCTAATCACAAAACTCTAAACTTCTTAACAGTCACGTCTGATCAATTTTATGGGACATTTTCGAGGTATTTAACTGAATTGAACTGAAATTTAAATGCTTTACCTTTCCACAGCTCGGTCCAGCAGGTAAAAAAGGGCCTGAAGAACCACATGGTTTCCGGTTTTGCTGGGATGGTGCAGTTTAGCCGTATAGAGGGCGATGGAGGCTCCTGACGGGTCCCGGACACCCTGATATCAGAAAACATCGCAATATGTCAGTAACGAGGAGCCATTCATATTCGTAAAGTCACTCAGCTCTTTGGAATATTAGAATAATGCATATTCTTTACTGAATAAAGCTACATTTACATTCTAAATGCAACATTCTGCAAATTATAAATTAAAATTAAATTTAAAAATTTAAATATTCAATAAAATTCAAAAATATAATTACAAAAACATTATGATAAAATTGTTTATGCATGCATAAACAAATGAATAAAAATAAATGGTCTTTGAATGATCTCACAAATAAATGCAGTAGTTGTATATTTCTTAATCCAACAAATTCTGCAAATCTGAAATAAAATAAATGTAATAATAATTATAATAATGCAAGATATATTTTTATATATAAATAGTAAATACATTAAAATAAATTCTAAAACAATGTGAATATGCATACATAAATGGATATTATATATATATATATATATTATGAATAATATATTATAATTAATATTAAATAAAAACTTCACGGATAAGTTTGTTGATCAAGTACGAGTAAGGTGCAGTTCTAGAGGTGTCCACAGAGGGGCAGAAAAAGTCTTCACTGAACATCAATGAGTCACTGAACCATCAGCTCAGAAACATTATATTTACATCTGCCATCCAGGAAGACACTAAATCTGCTTTATTTGCTCTCAGCTGCCCCATTTCCGTATGTGTGAGCACACGCTTTACATCTATTAAATATTTACGCCAATAACGAACAGCAATACTCTGATGACTCATGAGATGTGCGTCTCTCTCTGGGTTATAAATACAGACGGATAGAAGAGGAGACGGGAAGATGAGGAGGATCGATGAACATATTGGATAAAACCACCGCCTTCACTTTAGCTGGCAGAACTCAAATATTTAATTTCATTTATATGAATTTAAATGAAGTAAATTGGCTAGTAAATGCATATCTATCCATCCATCCATCTATCTATCTATCTATCTATCTATCTATCTATCTATCTATCTATCTATCTATCTATCTATCTATCTATCTATCTATCTATCTATCTATCTATCTATCTATCTATCTATCTATCTATCTATCTATCTATCTATCTATCTATCCGTCCGTCCGTCCGTCCGTCCGTCCATCCATCCATCCATCCATCCATCCATCCATCTATATGCATACCAAAAAATATTTCAATTCACCATCTAAAAAATAAGTGTCAAAACAAAGCAATTTGAAAGCAGTATTAGTCAAATGCAGCTGAAATATTCACTCTATGAATAATGCAGTGATAAGAGTTCTAATAACTGAACTGAAAGTTGAAGTGAAACCTGCATCATTGACTCCGCAGCTGAAATTAAAGTGAGCGCAACACTTTTTCCATGATTAGTGACGCTTACAATGAACTCGGCAATGTGCACAAACAGAAATGACAATCAATATTATTGGAAAACACACTCCTGTTTTTGTTTTTTTCATGCATTCTTTTGCTGTTCATGTGTTATACAGTAAACGCAACATGTGGTAAACATATGTTTTGGACTATTAATAAACAATAATAAACTCACCAACACAGTGAACTTTCCGCTCAGCAGCTCTGAGCGAAGTGGCTCTTTGTGTGGTTGCAGTTTGACGATGCCTTCCCTAAGACGAGTCTCCTGGAGAAACACACACACACACGCTGACATCAGGAGGTTTATTTTATGATCATGAGCAGCTGAACATTCATTAAGCTGCATTAAATCACTACTATTGTCTACTATTGTTATTAAATTGTTTGTTTTTCTGACCAGGGTTACTACCAAACCAATATAAAAAAAATAAATAAATAAAAAATAAAAAAATAAAAAATATATATATAAAGCTTTTAAAATAAATTAAACTATATAGATGCATTTAAATAAATAAACTAATCAATAAAAAATAAAGCTTTTAAAATAAATTAAACTATATAGATGCATTTAAATAAATAAATAAATAAGCTAATAAATAAATAGAAATACACAGCTTTTTAAATAAAGCTCAAGAAATTAGTTAAATAAATAAATGAATAATAAATAAACAAACTAATAAAAATATACAGCTTTTAAAATAAATTAAACTATATAGATTCATTTAAAATCAATTAAACTATATACATGTTTAATTAAATAAATAAACTAACTAATAAAAATATACAGCTTTTAAAATAAATTAAACCATATAGATGCACTTAAATAAATAAATAAACTAATAAACAAATAAATAAAATATACAGCTTTTAATATAAATTTAACTATATAGATGCATTTAAATAATAAATAAACTATTAAATAAATAAGCTAATAAATAAATAAAAATATACAGCTTTTCAAATAAAACTAAATGAATGAGTTAAATAAATAATTGAATAATAAATAAACTAATGAACTAATAAAAATATACATCTTTTAAAATAAATGTAACTATATAATGTATTAAATAAATAATTAAATAAAAATATACAGCTTTTAAAATAAATTTGAATGAGTTTAAATAAATAAATTAATTAATAAATGTCGGCGCCAATAGCCTAGTGATTAAGTGCACCAACATATAACACCGTGGTGCTCACAGTGACCAGAGTTCGATTCCCAGCTCGAGGTCCTTTGCCGACCCTACCCCTCTCTATGCTCCCAATACTTTCCTGTCTGCAACCTCTACTGTCCCTTCCAAATAAAGGTGAAAAAAACCATAAAAAATAATTATAAAAAAATTAATAAATGAATAAACAAAATAATAAACTAATAAAAATATACAGCTTTTAAAATAAATTAAACTATATAGATGTGTTTAAATAAATAAATAAAACCATGCAGCTGTTAAAATAAATAAACTTTACATACGTGTTTAAATAAACATACAAATAAATAAATAGTAATAACAAAACTCCAAAGCAAAATAATAAAAAAGAAAATAAATGATAAATAACAAAATAAGCATTTATTTAAAAAAAAAATTTAATTATAATAATAACTTGTAAAAATAATAATAACTTATCATGTCCTGGAAATGTATTAGCCGAAAAGATACATGCATTTAAAATAATACACTGTATTTTATTAAAATAAAATTGAAGTAAAATTAAATTAAAATAAAATAAACAAAGAAAAATTAAAGGAATAAAAACAAAAACAAAAATAAAGGAATAAAAAATAAACTTAAAAAAAATTTTATAAAATAATGAATTCAATAAAAATATTGTCTTTTCCTTTTGACCAGAACATCAATCCAGAATCTCACCCTGTAACTGTGGAAAAGCTCGATTGCTCGTAGGACATCAAACTTGCGTGCCATCAGAAACTTTACGGCCACGTCCCAGGACAGCGGAGACACACCATGCTGAGACGTCCATTTGTTGATCTCCTCCAAAAACTGCTTTGTGGCCTGAAAAACAAAAAAAAAATAACAGCTTTTAATTGAAATCTCAGATCTATTTAACTATTTAGGTCAGTCGTTTTTTTACCCTCGTCTAAACCAACAGCTGCTCCAAAAAAAAAAACCTGAAGCAGAGATGCGTGTACGTTTACATGAGATTTACAGTCAAAACTCAGTGTTCTCGGTCATTTCCTGACAAACATAAACATCACATACAAACAAAACCATAAGTGGCGAAGCAGGAGAAAACTGAAGGATGCTTGAATTTGAAAGAGAAGAAGAGTCGCTATGAGGTGTGTGATATTTATCCTCTACATAGGGCTTGGACAATGAAACTGAAACACCTGGTTTTAGGTAGGGCTTCCTTTTGCGGCCAATACAGCATCAGTTGGTCTTGAGAATGAAAGATAAGAGTCCTATACAGTGGCCAGAGGGACTTTGAGCCATTCTTCTTGCAGAACAGTGGAAAATGTCCTGACTCGCTCCTTCAACCAAAGTGGCTCACTAATATTTGGATCTGGTGACTGTGCAGGCCATGGGAGATGTTCAACTTCACTTTTTATGTGAATTGGTGCATTACCATCCTGATACAATTGGTTAGTCCTCCAGAATGGTTCGGTAGTCCTTGGCAGTGAGCCAGCACCCATCTAGCATAAGTAATGCACATTGGGAATGCCATGATATTGTGACCCAAACCAACACTGATCCACCCTCATTTTCTGTGGCCAAGCCACAGTCTGGGTGTTACACTTCATTAGGGCTTGCTGTCTTGATCACAGATATTATTCTGCTAATTCAACCTTCACACTCTGCTATTATTAGTGGAATGTACAATCAATGAATATTGGCACCAGGTTGAACAAATTTGTCCATTAAACCTATTGGCCAGTGTTTCAGTTTCATAGTCCAACCCCTGTAAATATGAAACAGTTCCGAAAAATGATGAAACTGGCAACTCAATGGCACGGGTTTATGATGCATTTTGAAAATTAATAAACTAAAATGATAAAATGAGAATTAAATAACATAAAGAAATTTTTTTTGCAATATATAAATTCGCAACAGTTCAGAAAAAATACGCAACTGCCAACTCATTTTCAAGTGTTTTTCCAAAGCATTCTGAAAAATAATGAACTAAAATACTAAATAGAAAATAAAAACAATATAAATAAATGTGCTTATATACAAATACGCAACAGTTCAGAAAAATGACGTAACTAGCCACTCAGTTACATGCGTTTACGAAGCATTTTGAAAAAAAAATTAAATAGTAAATGAAAATAAACTACAATATAAATAAATATACAATAAATAAATATGCAACAGTTTAGAAAAATGACACAACTGGCAACCCATTTTCATGTGTTTCCAAAGCATTCTGAAAAATAATGAACTGAAATAATAAAATGAGAATAAAATACCATATAAAGAAATATGCAATATATAAATTCGCAACAGTTCAGAAAAATACGCAACTGGCAACTCCATTGCATGCGTTTAAGAAGCATTTAAAAAAAAAAAAAAAACACTAAAATAGTAAATGAAAATAAAATACAATATAAAAAAATATACAATAAATAAATATGCAACAGTTCAAAAAAATTACGCAACTGGCAACCCATTTTCAAGTGTTTTTCCAAAGCATTCTGAAAAATCAAGAACTAAAATAATAAATATAAAATAAAAACAATATAAATAAATGTGCTTATATACAAATGTGCAACAGTTCAGAAAAAATGATGCAACTGGCAACTCATTGGCATGCATTTTCGATGATTTTGAAAAATAACAAAACTAAAATAATAAAAGAAAGCAAAATACAACATAAATAAATATGCAATATTTAAATACGCAACAGCTCAGAAAAAATATGCAAATGGCAACTCATTTTTATGTTTTTCAAACCATTCTGAAAAATGAAAAATACTAAAATAATAAATCAAAATAAAAAACAATATTACAACTGTTCAGAAAAATAATGGAACTGGCAACCCATTTTCATGCGCTTTTTCAATGCATTTTGAAAATTAAATAACTAAAATATTAAATACAAATAATAAACTATATATGCAACTGAAAACTTCACTGCTATTGGTGAAACATTTCTCATCTTTTCTGAACAAGCGTTTGTCTGAAGAATGGATCGGAATATAGACTAATGCCATCAGCGATAGACTACTCTTCTTAAATGTTAACAAATGCAGCTACCACAAACATTTAACATGAAAGCCAAATACAATACAAATAAATAAGCTGTGTTTCTTTCCAGAGGCTCCAGTCCACCCACTTGCACAACACTGTATCCTTAAAAGGAGAGATAAGCAGCACATCCAGGAAGAAAACCCAGAATTCAGCTCACTTTACCCTGAGACCAACTGTAGAGTTTTATCTCCAGACTGCTCATCATAGAACTCAACATATGGAGGGTGTGGGATTCTCCTCATATTTGTGAATATGTTAATAAATAATAATCCAAATATAAACATATTATGATTTTGATACAAAACTGTGTTTATTTTGTTGGATTTTTATTCATCAAGTACTGTCTAGTACTGAATAATAATTAATATTACGATTATTATTAATATTATTACTACAACACACATTACAATTTCATGGTTAGTTTTAGTAGTTTTTTTACATAATAATTTTAAATTCAAAAATAGAATTAAAATAGAAATAAATTTAATATATTTTAAATAAGAATATTTTGTAAGCTTTATAGGAAAAAAAAATTTTTATTATGTTTTTTTAAAAGAATCTTTTAAAAAATTACACATAAAAACAAAGAAGAATTTACATCTGAACCGACAACAAACCAAACATATTACAATAAGACAATTTTAGGGCGGCACAAGATTAATATTTTTTAAAATATTTTTTTCAAATATGCCTTGCTTAAAAAATAAATAAGTAAATAAATAATAATTATAATAATAATTACAATAAATAAATACTATCATTAACTGTAATAACCTTACTGGTTTTAATGTTACTAAAATAACATTTTTCTTAAAAAAATATGTAAATAAATAACAATGATAATAATAATAATAATAAATATTATTATTATTAATTGTAATAACATAATAGTATTACTATTATTAAAACACCAATTTTTAATAAAATAAGTAAATAAATCATTATAATGATAATAATAAAACATAAATATTAATAATAAATGTAATAACATTTTGATTTTATTATTAAAATAATATTTTTTCTTAAGTAAATAAATAATACGATAATAATAAATATTAATAATAATAATAATAATTGTAATAAATTATTGTTATTTTATTATTTTAAAAAATATCTATAAAAATAAGTTAATAAATAATGACAATAATAATAATAACAATAATAAATAATTATTATTATATATTGTAAAAACATTATTTTTATTTTTTATTAAAATAACAATTTTCTATAAAAAAGTAAATAAATAATAATGACAATAATAATATTAATGATAATAACAAATATTATTATAACATCTAATCGTAACAACAATATTATTACTACTATTACATGTAATAACATTTATTATTATATTATTATTAATAAGGATGCTCTGATTGATCCGTGCTTGCCAATCTGGCACATCTCAGGTGTTTGTTTATGAGTTTACAAGCACAGGAAGATGCACATGTGCTCCCCTATACTTAGCCTACAGCAGTCACAACACATGAGGAGGTAAATGATGCATGGGTGTGCCAGCAACTGATGTGCTCCCTTCACAACAGCTAAAATATATACAGATGGAATAATAGGGTAAATGAAACTTAAAAAGTTAATATAACTTAATCTTATTGCAATAAACCAGGGGTGTCAAACTCAATTCCTGAAGGGCCGAAGCCCTGCACAGTTTAGTTCCAACCCTGCTCCAACACACTTACCTGTAGCTTTCAAACAAGCCTGAAGGACTCAATTAGTTTGATCAGGTGTGTTTAATTAGGGTTGGAACTAAACTCTGCAGAGCTGCGGCCCTTTTGGAACTGAGTTTGACAACTGTGCAATAAACGGTAGTTTATAGGCCTATCGCTTTTAGTAAAAACGTAATGGATTTACAGGTGTGCATTTGTACTTCTTATGGATCAAATCTGTACAACAAACTTTTTCTTGATTGAGACATGTTGAATTCTTTTTCTGTTTCCAAATTTCATTTTTTTTTCCTCCTCAATTTTTATATTTGTGTTATATTATTTTCTGTAAAGCTGCTTCTGAGCAAGACGTTTAAGACGTGTTTAAGGGATTACATGCAGCATCCTTCATGTACTGTCTTAGATAAGGCAAGATCTCCACTTAAGTATCATACTTTGAGGAAAAATGTGCTTAATATATTATAAATCTGTAAGCTTTAGAATCGGTACTCAATATCGGCCAATAGCCTTAAAGAAATAATACTTTGTATCGGCTGCAAAAATCCTAATTTGGAGCATTATTAACAACAACTATAATAATTTACATTAGGAGCAGCATTTTTAGAATTGATTTCTAACAAAAGTTGATAAAGAAATACATTTTCCCATTATATTGACTTTATTTATTTACTTTCAAAAATACATTCTCTCTGTTTCTACATTCCCAGTGCGTGTTTCTCCAGTGGAAATGCTTTTAGCAGCTCATCTCCCACAGGACCCACATCTATTTACTCTCTGACATTCATCCAGCAGCCCCGATAAACCCATCTGCGAGACCCCAGAGCCCCATTCACTCGCTCAGCCGTGATTCCTGTGCATTTACACAGCGATAAGACCCTCGCTGAACCAATGAATGAATGAATGAAGGAATGAACGGACGACTGGGGCTTTATTTAAATGAGTCTCCACGGCAGGATGAAGGACACAGAGAAGCCTTGTTAAAGAAACCAACAGACCAACACTTCACTACACAACAGCTTTCAGAGGCTTTACGACTCATTTGAGCACAAACAAAACTAGTCAAATGTTTGCAAAACATTGGTGCGCATCGCAGCACTTAAAGCCAAACACACATTCCTCATGCTA